GAAATCAGAAAAAAAGAATCATATGTTTATTTTTAAGCAAATGGAAAGCATACTTTGTATTTTGTGTATCTATATGCCGAAACACTTAATCAACATTTTATTAACTTTTATTCTTTTCTAACAAATACATTAAATGTAAAGTATAATATAGATCAGGATTTATGAATATCTACATTGTTTATTTTACTTAGATAAATAGCATGAGGATTATTGATGCATAGTACAAGAGAACAGAAAAGAAACGATGTTTACAGCAATTTTCTAATTTTATGCATAGAGACAAGTGTCTAATTTATAGCCAGTCCAAAAAAGTATTGGGACATCCTCGTGCTTTCTCGTATATTGGAACATAAATAATAGATAAGATTTTAATTTTTGCACCGTTGGATAGCTTTCACCTTGCATCAAAACCTATGATAAAATCGTCTCTTTTTCCTATCATCTCAAATCGTTGCTATTTATTTAATAAAATACCCTGTTTTTCAATATTTCCGTGCATTCTTAAAATGGGTAGTTGTAGGTTTTTATTATCTCATATAAGTGCTGTCTTTGCGTCGATTCCTTTTAGACACATATCATTCGATAGAGCGTCATATGTGCTACAAAATGGACCAGTCTTCATTCGAAATAGACCTGAGAGGATGTAAGTTGAGTGTAACTACACCGACACCCATACCCACACCCTAGTTTTCGATAATATTTTTCAAATACTTTCCTAAGCGTTGAAAAGTCGAATCAGGCTAATTTTTCATCAGCTAAATGAAATACATTTAAAGTTTGGTTTCAAAACCTTTAGACGGTCCTAAACAAGATGAGGATATCAAATAAAAAAAAGCTAAATTTTGACAAGTGGTTCGATATCAGAACTGATCATCGATATTCTTACAGACCCTCTCATGATCTATTTCTATATATATTTCATTAAAGTTATATTGAGTTATACTTTAAATATTGTTTTAAATCAACATAAATTATTTAAAAAAAAGTGTATAAGTGTATAAACATTTACAATGTTAATACTAGAAAAACTTTTGAGAAGAATAAAGCATATATTTACTGCGAGAATTTGATATATTTTCTTTTGAAATATAAAAAAAACGCTAATATTTAATCTTTCTTTGTTTTGCATTTTGTCAAATCAAAAACGCGACGATCCGGATTCAGTGCATCTTGTAGAGCAAGTGATTCTCTACAAAATCCTATATATGGTTATGCTCTGTAATTCCAATTTTTCGAACATTTTTTTAACTCAAGAAAATATACTTTTGCATAGTCAGTGTATTGCATTCATGAAGAGACAATATGATCAAGATATTGACAAAATCGCAATATTTTGTAGTCAAAATGTAGCCACCGAGACCAGGAGCAATTAGAATATGTATCATACATATATATTATAAAGACTTTAAGTATTTATTTTGAAAATTTTGAAAGAAGTTTATAAAAAATGATTTTTCTGAAAATTATAGAATTTTCATGCTCGATATGTCACTATTTATTAATGAAATTTAGAAAACTGGTTCTGGCGATTTTCATATTTCAATGTGGTCTACAAATCTTGAAAGTTTCATCGAATTCGGAAATACTCAATGTGAACGTGGTAGAAATACCATGAAATATCCCATATGTACTGATAATGTTCGAACCAATCCTAGGGTTCTTAGGGACGCTCTATTACTTGGTGGGTACATATCTGTCCTCCCCCCTGATCCTTCATCCAGAAATAGAATTCCAAGTTTCGATTGGTCGATAAAATGGATCAATCGAGGATGGGTGGTGTGAGTGAAAGATTTCGTCTTTTCTTAACGCACACCGACAACCACACGCACCCTATGATAAGCTCAAGAATATGAATCACTTATTTCGTATTTTGATTGACTTTCTTTATTAGCATATTCATAAGAACAGCTACAAATCAATCATTTAGAATCAACATGTGAAATCGAAGTTATCTTTCAATAAGTTATTACTCGATTCGAACATCAGCACAACCACGGAAAGTTTCTTGCTTGCCATAACCCATGCCTTCTCTTCCATCGCTTGATCCTCATCGATTGGCACATGTCCAGTCCTATTGCAAAACACATCGGTTGCAAGTCAAACCATCAGGCAGTTTTACTTTAAAATTATATGCAGGTGGATTTCAATTGGAAGCAACATTTTGCGTATGACCCATGTGAAAAAATATTATTCAAAAATCACACAATAATCGTTTTTAATCATACGAGGATCATCCTTTAATCGATTCGTGTTATTTGATTATACATCGATGTTTTCAAAGTAATCGATTAAAGGATGATTTTCGTATGATTATTTCAGCTAAAATTTTTGATTATAATCGTATGATTGAAATTGATCATTTTATGATTTTTGAATAAATTGTTTTTACATTGGCAGTACCTGGGATATCCAAACGGTAAGCATTTGTGATTGTAGTAGGAGCTTCCACAATCCTAAGTGGATATCAGTCAAGACATTCTTGTGTCACTTCCACAGCATCGTTTGTTACTGGACAAATCTTGAAGTTGAACCAACCCAAATGATTAGCCATCATTTCAATACGAACATCGATGACTGCTCCCGATCTGTAAGTACCAACAATAGTTTCCGTAAAATATTTACCATTCGGTGCTTCATTATTACGAGTTCCATCAATAGGATCACCACACACACCACATTTTCCTTCCATTTTCCAATGATACTATTTTAATGAAAAATGATAAATCATAGAGTTTTAGTTACTACCTATGCACTTTGCATGATGGATCGGATTCACTGAGAGAAAGAACAATAGTACAATGAAGACTCGTAACTGAATTTACATCGAAGACAACAAAAACTTGACTACTTTTGGGATTCGTCATCTACGACTCATCCTGAGCAACACACAGCAACTCCTGGAGCAGACTATTATATGTAATGATATCGAAGTTTTTTCGATACAACATATTCAATCAGGTTGATATTGCTCAGAAAAAAAATGTAAGAGAAACCATTAAATTAGCTTACTAATATCACCATAGATGTTTATTCAAAGTTATTATATATTTCACTTCTTACACTTTTGAATTCTGATATTCTGATGATGAACAATCCACTTTCGATAAAATATGTTTTATTACTCAGAGCAACAACTATGTAAGAGTTAAAGTATCATTCCTATGTATAGTCTTATTATTCTCGGAAGTTTGTTTGTCATCCATATTACTTTTTGACCTATCAAATTGTATATTTTTTTTTCAAAATGAAAACATAAGATGATAGTGAAAGACAAAGTGCCATCGGTTTTACTCTAGAAATTAAATTTTTTCGTTTTCAATCTAGTATATCATAATCTTGAATAACAAAAAACAATTATGATATTTCATTTTCAATCTGACAGATACAACTACATACATCTTAGGCGAAAACAATAATTCTTTGAATGGTATAATAGTGATTTATACTACAAAGATAGTTGTAGAGATAATATATGCCATAAAACATAAACTTTGAAAAAGACTTCTGTCATATACACTTGAAAATTTTTTACTTCTTAATATCCATCGGGAAGATTACTGATGAGAGGGGCAAATTCTTTCGAGACTCTAGGTTTTACTGAAAATTGAAGGTGTGATAACTGATTGCAATCGAATTCAAGTGATAATTAAATATCAAAATCATATTCAGAATATAAAATTGTGTCAACCTTCATAATTATGGTTTTATATATTCTAATTATGTTTATATCCGTTGAATAAATTGAAATAGATTCTTTCAGTGTTAGGTTACAAACTGAAATAAATTCAATTTTTTATCTGATGTCATTTATCTCACTACTTTTTGAACATCAGTAATTTAAAAATAGTTGATCCACTCGTTAAATATGTGTCCAGTAGATATTGAGAAAGTAGTACAAGGCCATGAATATGTTATTTAGAAAGATGATATACTCATTTGAGACAAATTCTCTTGAAACTGTCAATCAGAAATATGAGATAAAGTACTTTGTTTCTGTATTTAAAATGTACGGATGGATCATACTGCAAATGAAGAAAGGAAGTAGTCTATTAAACAAACTTGTGAACAAGTTAAAGAATAATATTAGTTGAAACCTATAACTCCACAACAATTGATAATGTATCGATCTTAGATTTAACAATCCTCATTTCTTTTCAGCCCTACATATGTAATGATAAGTCCTTCAATAAGTTAAACTAGTGTCTAGACCTATATCTATTCTTTGACTCACCTCATATCCACCACAATTCAATTCAAAGTCATTGTAGTTTTTAGGAGTATCGAAGCCAAACTGCCATGCTCAACTGCGACCTGGAGGAAGAGCCAGTCTTTCATGGCTATTTACAGATCCAACAAAGATTAGTACAATAAAGAATTTGAACATGATTCTATTATGATAATCTAAGAATTGTAACATATGATCCGTAAT